TATATACGCAGCAGGACATTAGGCATCTGTCCTGCCAGCTCCCAAATGACCACACAGAGGCTTCTTATTAATTACAAAAAATTGGCCATAGCTTAGGCTTGTTACTAACTAGCTCTTACAACTTAAATTAACCCATATCTTTAATGTACATTCTTTTATGTGGCTCAGTTACTGGCTCAGTTACCTTTACACTAATAGGCATTTTTCTCAATAGCACATCAAACCTTATCCAAATTTAGTCATATCTTAGGACATAAATCACATTTAAAACAATAAAAATAATCAAGATAATTCCTTGAGTCCTATTAAAGCATAATGGAATAAAGGTAGAAATAAGAAAACTACAGAAATACAAAGAAACTAAACAATACAATTTTTAATGAACAGTTGGCCACTCAAGAAATTAGAGAAGAAATTAAAAAAATCTCTAGAGACAAGTAAGAACACAACCTATCAGAACCGCTGGGATACAGCCAAGGCAACTGAAAGCTGTAAGTGCTCACATTAGAAAATCTGAGAGATGTGAGTTCACTTTTTTTTATTTTAAAAATCTGAAATTTTAAATGTAACACAAATTACTAAATGGTCTTATTAATAAAAAACAAAAACACAAAAAAACAAAACAAAACAAAACAAACCCCGGAGCCAGGTATTGGGATGAAAACTGAGAGATCAGAGAAATAGAACAAGCCACAGCCAACCTCACCTTACCAACTCCTCAGCCTCCAGAGAGAGCCACTTCCTGTATACTCACACCTCTATCCTTTCTGTGCTCTGCTATCTTACTACCTTTCTCTGTCCAGCTTTACCACTTCCTCTTTCCACCCAGTTCTATCACTTCCTGTCTGTCTGTACAGACCTCCAGACCTCTATGGTTAACTAGTGCTGGGATTAAAGGCATGTGTCACCATGCCTGGCTCTGTTCCCAGTGTGGCCTTGAACTCACAGAGCTCCATATGAATCTCTGCCTCCTGAATGCTAGGATTAAAGGCATGTGCTACCACTGCCTGACCTCTATGTTTAATATAGTGACTGGCTTTATCCTCTGATCTCCAGATAAGCTTTATTGGGGTGCACAAATAAAATATTACCACACTTAATAAACAACCCAATAATGAACTTCAATAAACAGCCAAACCAATTAGATGGAAAGAAATAATAGATTAGGGAAGACATTAATGAAACAAAGACTGAAAGGACAATGTGCTAAACCAACCAAAAGAGTTGGTTATTTGAAAAAGTTAATGACTGACAAATCCTTAGGCAATCTGATAAAAAGAGAAGATGCAAACTAACAGAGTAGAGATCTGTGTGTATGTGTTGTAGATTATTATTTTAAGATGTGTTACATTTGTTTATGCTGTGGAATATTTGTCTAATGATACAAAAATGTGTTTCACTCTTTTATGTTTCATTTGTTAACTCTATGAAGCTGCGTTACTTTGTCTAAAATGCCTGATAGTCTAATGAAAAGCTGAACAGCCAAACAGTAAGGCAGGAGAAAGGATAGGCTGGGTTTCCAGGCAGAGAGAATAAATAGAAGGAGAAATCTTGGAGGAAAAAAGAAAAGAGCAAGAGAACAAGGAGAGGGATGCTAAGGGCCAAGCACCCAGCCACACAGCAAGCCACCAAGTCAGAGTGAAAGTAAGATTTACAGAAATAGAGAAAGGTAAAAGCCCAGAGGCAAAAGGTAGATGGGATAATTTAAGTTAAGAAAGCTGGCAAGAAACAAGCCAAGCTAAGGTTGGGCATTTATAATTAAGAATAAGCCCCTGTGTGTGATTTGTTTGGGAGCTTATTGCTGCCTGGAGGGCCAGCCTCCAGCAGCCCAGGGTATGCAAAAAAAAATCTACAAATATGACAAGAGCTAATCTTTTCTATCTGAGAGCTAATAGGAAACACATACTTTCTGATGGTAACTCTCTTTTTACTTCATCATGAAAAAAACTCCTCAGCAGAAAACTCTAGACAATATATGAAATAAGGAAGAAAGATAGCAGGGCACAGAAAGGATATAGGGATGAGTATACAGGAAGTGGCTCTCTCTGGAGGCTGAGGAGTTGGTAAGGTAAGGTTGGCTGTGGCTTGTTCTATTCCTCTGATCTCTCAGAGTCGTATCGAATAATCTTGAACAAACATTAAGAAACAGAGCATAGGCGGTGGTGGTGCACACCTTTAATCCCGGCACTCGGGAGGCAGAGGCAGGCAGATCTCTGTGAGTTCGAGGCCAGCCTGGTCTACAGAGTGAGATCCAGGACAGGCACCAAAACTACACAGAGAAACCCTGTCTCGAAGAACAAAAACAAACGAAGAAACAGAGCCATTCTGATGACACAGTTATTTTCAGGCTAAAGATGTCACTCTCACTGGCTAGAAGTGAGTAATCATGGCAATGCTTTGCTGTGCAGACAGGAGGCACACAGCCTGAGCGACATCACAGAGAGTGACATTCAATTCAGGACCTAAGTTATTTGGCTGAACCTTGAGCCTTGTATCATAAAAGTGAGGTTAGGAGTATGTGCAAGAGTCAGTTGCTGAGAGGATTTGTACAGGTAATTGTGTCTTTAACGTTATCAGCCAGGCTTTTGCAAGCAAAAAACTGGCACTAAAGTTGCTTAATGCCTGACCTTGATTCTACAATTAGACACCTGGGAACTTGTCCTTGAGCAATTCATCTCCAGGGGCAACTAGTCTATTTTGGATTTGCTCTGAGGTCTGTAATTGTCTTGAAGCCATGGAATAAAGGCCTGGCTAAGAAAGTATATTTTATTCAAATGCCAAAATTACACAGCATAAGTCATCCTACTGTCAATTCACAGACAGAACTGTGCCCAATAAGCGGAGAACACACCACCAGTAGGCTGTGCGAAGGGTCCCACAGTTGTTCTTCTTAGGGAGGAATTGTGATATCACATGAGAGAAGTGCAGACAGAAACACACTGATTCGCAGTCAGTGACCCCACAGTTTTTGCCAAGTAGGGTCCCCATCAGAGAATTATTCATCTGGTGGGTTGACTTTATGAATACAAGCTGTCTTCTGCTGCATATTTCTTGCAGACTCTGGTAGGAGTTGGGTGGCAAGCCCCCCAAAAGAGCAAAAGTAACCAACAACATGTGTGTACATGTATATGTATTTAATATAACATACATATAAATATCACACACATATACACACAAACATGTTTTTAATTTCTTACATATAGGAAAACATTAAAAAACACCATCTAGACAGCCTGGAAAAAAATCCCTGCAGGCAGGTTGGAGTTGTACTTCAACTGGTGAAGTGTTTCTAGCATACAGAAGCCTTGGTGTGGATCCCAGCACCTCAGTAACCAGGTGGGGCAGGGGGAAAATCAAAGTTCAAGGTCATCCTTAGCTACATAATGAGTTTGAGGTCATCAGGAGGCTCGGCTATAGGAAGACCTGTCTTCAAAAGGGAAGGACAGTCTGTAGCTTAGTTTTCAAATTTGCCCCATCTGTCAATCTTCCCTCTTGGATGTTCATCACACAGTATATCAAACTACTGACTTTATAGAAAATAACCTCTTTCTTCAGCAGTTAAAAAAGTTGATAAACTAAGACATTAGCTTCAAACCATCAGATCAAAGACAGCATTAATCTTCTAACTCACTAAGTTCACTTTTTATTGAAAGTCACCTGAATGCTCATTTCAAACTAGTTACAAAAATATTATTTCCAGCCATTTCCCACGTTCGTTTTCTGGAGTCGTTTTCTTTGCACAACCTGATAAGTTAAAGCTTGTTGCACACACGCTGTTCTACGTTTATCTCACCCACTGGTAACAAACAGAAAGGTGACTTTGGTCAGAGTTGGGGGAGCACAGATGTGAGTTTCAGTACTGGGAGAGGTTAGCAGCTGTAAGGGCTTACAACACTTAGTGCTGACCTGGCCAGGACAACTCTGCTGGAAAAACAGAAAAGGTGGGGGCAGAACTGGATTGCTCATCGCTATGCTTTGCAATATTCCTAGCTTTCTCCTTCCAAGGTCAAGGAAACATTTTTGTTGAAAAACCTATGACTTCCCTAGAGATAATTTTCAGATTTATGAGTCAGTATTCCAACTTCATCACACATAGGAAGTACCAATATTCCTCTTAGTTTGCTGTACTTGTGCTTCTTCCCAAATGCGAGGTACTTTTTATTTTCTTATTACTGATAAAATAAAGTGATAAAATACTCAGACAAAAGCAGCTCAAGGGAAAAAGGGGTTATCTCACAGTTCAAGGTCTGTCATGGCAGAGAAGTCAAGGCAGAAGGATCTGGAAGCAACTGGGCACACAGGATGCACAGTTAGAAGACACCAATGAACACATGAATGATAGTGGTCAACCAGTGTTCTTTATCTTATACCACCCAGAATTCTTTGTTCAGGGAATGGTGTCATCCACAGTGGGTGGTGGGTCTTCCTACCTCAGTGAGTGTAATCAAGATCATCCCCACAGGCAAGGATATAGGTCTGTCCCCCTTTGACAATTAACACCAACCATCACAGCTAGTACAGGACTTAGGAAGTCCATGAGCTTAGGAAATTCCAGATGTTTTAAACTGAACAAATTAGCAATTCTATGGGGGGAATAACCCACAGCATCAATACACGCTTAGAGGGTACAAAATCTGAAAAGACTGAGAGATCTTTCTTAAATGTGTGATCTGAAGAAAAATACAGAGTACAGTTCCTTCCTTCATAGGTATAAAATATGATTACATTAAGTTCCACAAACAAAAGGACTTTAGAATAAATCCCTGTTTTTATACATGATAAATGCTAAAATCTGGAGAAATTAAGGGAATGTTAAGGCTACAATGCCAGCAGAAAATACTAGCTTCCTGCCTGCATGGCTCATCCTTTCTCACTCAGTTGTTCACACAAAACCAGATAGGAAGGCACTGGTAGGCATACTGGCATCCAAAGTCTGATATATCACACACATATGATATATATCTGATAAATAAATTATCTAAGAAGAAAACAAGTCCTTATTTTGGGTATTACTGGGCCATTTTAATTTTTTAATTTTAATTTTTATGTAAAACAACATGCTCTCTTGGATACATTTTAGAACTTGCTTCCTTCCTGGTAGAAACAACCAACAACTTATCAATCATCTGACAGACAGGAGTGCTTAATACTATTGCAATCAATCACAGCCAAGAGCATGCACTTGACCCAGAAGGGGCAGAGGACATTCAGGAGAAAAGGACTTCAAGGAGGCACTTAAACACATTTCTTGCTCAGTCAATTGCTCTGAAAGCAAACAATAAAGAACAAATTAGTTGAGTGGATCTTTCAGTAACTGCTGAAGCTCTTTAAAAAATTTCAGCAAAATCTCTTTTCAAAGTTTATTCTCTTGTTTATTCACACTAAAGAACAGCAAGTACAAAACCAATGGCGATAATGTTCAGTGAAAAGAATTTTTATAGTAAGTAATTAAGTTGAGAAAGCTGAAAAAAAAAAAAAACGCTTTATTTTGGTGTCAAAAGGAATAGGAATCCAAAATTCGTTTTTAATTTTTTCCAAAATAATTACAAAACTGAAAGTCTATAAATAAGAATCTAAGAAAGCCTTCGCTTTCCTGCCCCCACCCCCTTGACTTCCGAAATACAGTGCAACTTTTCCCATCTGTTATTTTAAAGCAAGACAGTAATGAACATATGGGGCTTTCTCTATCAAGCAGCTGTAGTGTAGTTAAAGTTATAATAATTGTCTTTCTGTAAGATAAATTTACATTAAAAACCTGGCCAGTGAGAAATAAATAGCTCAGCCGCAGAGTCTTCTTAAAATTTAAAAATTCATAACCATCTATGACAAATTACAGAGATGTAGAGGAAATCCCTAAAGCTTCTACTTTTATCTTTAAGATTTAGTAGATATAATAGATGATGCACAAATCAGCTTATTCCACCTCCCAGCTCATAGCTCATGTTTTCTTTCTTGATCAAAATGTGGGAACATTAGTGAGTTCAGATACTCATCCCTAAAGCCAGCAACTAAGTTCTTGGAAGTTAACAGTTCAAATCCACTCTTTCCATTGAGTCACTCAACTCTGAACTACAAGCCCACTTGCTTACGAGGAAAATCTCCACACACGTGGCGCCTAAGTCCGCTTCAGCCCTGTATTACTCATGTGAATTGGAGTGAACTGAAAGGAACTCATAGCACATCTGACCATAGGAAATGGAGCTACTACCTACCTTTGTCTGGATGGTTCAAAATCATCATTCTCTTGTGTGCTGTTCTAATCTTGGCCTTGCTAGCAGATGGGCTGTAAACAAATTAACAAAATGCAGATTATAAATTAATGATTTATATGGGTTTCAAGAAATTAAAAACTAATGAGAATTTCACCATCTTGTGGACAAATATAAAATTACAAGCTTTACACTTAATTCTACTAACCATTAAAATAAATCATGGTGATTCAATACTGTATTATATTCTCCTTCAGTACTTTATAATATCTATCCTCATTCTCAGTTTTAAAAACTGAATAAATAAAAGATGGGTTGGAGATTTAGCTCCATCATAGAATCCTTACCTAGCAGCCATGAGACCCAAGGTTTAGTGCCCAGCACCAAAACAACACACCGCCACCACAACCAACAACACCCCACATACACAGGCCAAGAGAGTCACACTATGCACACTACAAGTATCGAAAGTTTACGCTTCTAAGGTCATTTTGGAGGAAGGTGACATATACCATCGAGGTACTGGCGTTCCAGAACTAGTCTGCTAGCTTTTTAGATCAGTCTTGCTGTGGAGTACTGGCTGATGCTGGTCAAGGATACTGCCCAGTGCTAGGACAGTGCCCGCACGTGAGTTCTAGAATAGTATAGATATTCTATAATAGTATATAGAATAGAAGGCCTTCTGTCAGACCTTCAACAAGCAATCTCCAAACTCCACAGAGTTCAGAGTGTATCTAGCTTTGTAAGAAAGCTGTGGGAAAGTGTGGCATACAGCAGCCTACAATGTGAGTGGAAATGAAACGAGACAGTGAAAATAAACATAAAATTACAATGACGAAACTGATTTATTCAGAGTTACAAGCATTTAGTTCATTTTCTGAGCATGAAAAGAATTTTAGCACCAACAGTAGAAGTTACTGCACCTAACAGCTCTTGTATTTAAGTGACTTAACTTTACCAGGCTTCAAAGGGGTAAGTTTATAGCCAGCTTAAAGTATGAGGGCAGTTGTGAAGCTCAAAGGAATCTGAATGGATGAACTCTGTGTTAGCAGGAAGCACGCAATTTTAGTTATTCAGGTCTAAGTTCAAAAATCTTAACTCTACTGCTCTTCAGCTATGAAACTGTCTTGCTCATTTAAACTCTCTGAGTTATAATTTCTCATATGTAACATAAATACAATGAAGCCTATCTACAAGGATTACTTTAAAGAGTAAAGGATGTTTATGAAAATACATTTTATATGTATATGTATATATATTTGTACTTTTAAAGAACTTAATGTAAACAATCTAACATTTCCTGAATGACTCAGAAGCACTATCCTGAGAATGAACTAAATGCAGCTCTCCGAGTCTGCAGAAGTTGGCTGATCCTTCTAAAGAGCCCAGAATGCTGCTTAAGATCCTCCTTCTGTTTGAACAACACCTCCCTTGCCATCAGGTGTCAATCTTTGATTCGGTTAGTGCTCCAATTTCCAGCAGTTTCTTGTCAATTACATGCTACCACTAACCTCCTACAGGTAAATAACATTGCCATACATGTTAATACATCCTATTAAAGTGTCACATGCCTAAACTTCTAGCATTCAGGAGGCTGAGACAAAAATATCTTGAACTCAAAAAGGCTATGTAACAAAACTGTCTCAAAAGATAAGATCCCTGTGAAAAAAGAACTATTACTGGCTAAATGAACAGACAAACCATTCTTCCATAAATAAAATAAACAAGTTCTTTTATGCAAGGTCCTGAGAATACTTCTTTTGATTGTTTACAGAAACCTTATGGGGAAACATTTTTAAACTTAACTTTTAGGTAGCTCTCAAATAGATACTGTTTGATTTCAAAGACTATTGAGTTTTGAGAAAGTAAAGTAACAATTGGATATTTACAAGAGCTAACTTTTTATCTAATTGCGTAAGAAATGAAAACCACATCACTCTGAAAACCAGCACAGTTCCACTTCCTGTGCTGACGTGCACGGATCCTTCTGTTTACGGCGCTCTCCAGCACCTCTACACTGGTTATACTCTCTTGTTCTGGATGCCCGACTGTACATACAAATGACTTACAGGTACAGTCTATGACCTGCACTTAAGATATCATCTCAGATGGAATATGCAATGGGTGCTTCATGGATTTTATAGTACCCCCCCAAAAAAACCCAGCAACAACAACAAAAACCAAAAGACCCAAAACCAAGAGCAACAATCACAAAAAGTAAATTCCTTAGATGAAGGCTCTAACTAGTGAACACTGACAGTATACAAGACTATTCGTTATAAAAATTAGAAACCTATAAAAAGAGCTTCACAAGACTGTACCTCACAAAGCTAATTACTAAAAACTAGATATCAATTTAGAAAAGTACCAATTTGTTGTATATATTTGAAGAAACATGGTGTGTTAGCTCTTATTTTGTATATCAAGTTTTAATTGAATAGATGAAACAAAGTCTGAAAGTCACCTCAGTTACAATATTCTTGAAAATCAATGGCATTGCCTATTTTAAAAAAATTTTTTTATTAAGAAATTTTTTATTCATTCCACATACCAACTACAGATCCCCCCTCCTCTTTCCTCCCCTATCTCCTCCTCCGAAAAAGGTATAACCTCCCATGGGGAGTCAGCAAAGCCCACACATTCAGCTGAGGAGGGTCTAAGCCCCTCCTCCTGTATCAAGGCTGTGTAAGGTGTCCTACCATAGGCAATATGCTCCAAAAGGCCAGTTCATGTAGACGAATTTCTAAATGGTCTTATTAAATAAAAAACAAGGAGCCAAATATAGGGGTGAAAGCCTTAGAGATTAGAGAAACAGGGAAAGCCACCAGCCAACCTTACCTCACCAACTCTGCAGCTTTCAAATGCGAGTTACTTCCTGTCTACCCATGCCTTTATATGCCTTGCTGTTCTGCCCTCTCATTGGCTCTCATAGCCCAGCTACCTCACTTCCTCTTCCTACACAGCTCTGTCACTTTCTGTCTGTCTGAACAGACCTCCAGGTCTCTATGGTTGGTACTGAGATTAAAGGCATGTGTCACCACGCTTGGCTCTGTTCCCTAGTATGGCCTTGAACACACAGAGATCCTGCCTGATAAGTGATCGGATTAAGGGGCATGTGCTGCCTGACTTCTTGCTTACTTAAAATGGCTGGCCTTTCTCCCTTGATCTCTAGGCAAGCTTTATTTATAAAATATCACCACATTTCAGCACAAATAAAATATCACCACAAGTTCATGCACCAGAGAGAGATCCTATTCCCACTGTCAGGGGCCTCTAAACAGACCAAGCTATACAACTGTCTCACCCATGCAGAGGACCCAGTCCAGTCCAATGCAGGCTCCACAGCTGTCAGTCCAAAGTTCCTAAGTTCCCACTGGCTTGGTTCCCTTCTATCTGTAAGTTTACCCATCACGGTCTTGATGCCCCTTGACATTGCCTATTTTTCAAAAAGTAACTTTTTTCTACACAAAACCTGAAGTACTGTGTACATTGAGGTCTGACGCCCATCAAACTATATTAAAGTGAAAACGCATGGAAGAAAAGTTGACGTACACAAATATGACAATTTAAAACCATGGCCTTTAAGACAATTATCATCTTAGTGGTGAGCTTTGAAGATGGGGGGAGAATTCTCATTTACATGCAGTTTATTCCCCTTCTGGTTTTGCTATATTAAAACTCTAAATCATTGCTACATTTTAATGATGTATTTGTTGCCCAGACCACGAGTTTTAAAGTGTTCCCTGGAATATGTTTGACTGGCAAGGGAAGGGAGGGTGGGGTGGGTGGGAGAAACAAGGTGTGTGGAACTGAGTGGCATTCTTGAGCCTGTAGTAAACAGAGTCAATAAGTTGAGGGACAATAATGCTCCCTGAGTAAATACTAACTAAGCAAGGAAATAGTTAGCTAACTAACATGGTCCCTTTGCTTAATGCCAGCCACTACTTTCTCTGACGAGGAAAACTCCCATCTCTTAGTTTTAAATAAAGCACTAAGCTAAAGGAAGTCCAGTTTTCAAAAATTATTATTGCACTTATTTATTTGTATCCACACATCTCTCTCTCTCTCTCTCTCTCTCTCTCTCTCTCTCTCTCTCTCTCTCTCTCTCTGTGTGTGTGTGTGTGTGTATGTATGTGGGGGTGTGTGGGGGGTGTATGTGGGTGTACCACAGTATGCAGGTAGACAACTGGTTGAGAGAGAAATCAGTGTCACAATAGGGAACCTTGTGATGGGACCTGGAGCCTAGGACTCCTTGAAAAGAGCAAAGAGTATACATAACTTCAATTAATCCAGACCTTAAAAGGCAAAAATGTGCTATATCCTCTTCTGGGTTTTATTTTTAAATTTTAAATATAAGCACAAACTTACTGTAATTCCCTCCACTTCCAATTTTCAAGACAATCTTGGCCACAAAACAAAAATACTTATGCAGCACTTACCTTACACCTAAAATAAGACTAGCTTCTCGCCTACTCATTTTCTGCTCAAATCCTCCTTTATAGTAGGATGAAAGGCTCTGCATGGGAAAGAAAGAGCAAGAAATAATTAGTTCCATGCACAGGGTAGCATGACCTCAATCCCCTCACACCGCTACAGTAAGAGCAATGCATTTTATTAGAAATCAACTTGAAATTGCAGGGGAATGCACTACACAATGATCCTTTCATAAAACTCTAACCAAGATGAATGCAAAAAACATTAACAGTGTTTTCAACTTCACAATGCATTAATTTTCTCTACTGAGATAGAACCAAAGGACAGGGATCAGCAAATGCCAATGCTTTCCCTAAGCACTGAAGTTCTTTTCTCACTGGATAGCCTTGACCAAGGCACTTATATTGATATGGCAGGTATCTGTTTGCCTTGTATCCTGGCTGACAGAGAAAGAAGAACGTGTAATGGTAACAGACAGGAAAGGCAAGAGAGGCTGGGAAACTGAGCGGCATGGCCGTGGTGGCTAGAGAGTGAACTAGGAAGCCAGGAGTCTTAAAAAGCAATGGGACTGGATTGTGAGAGGCCTGGTTGGTGATGGAATGAGAAGTGAGAGCACTGGAGGAACATCGTTTGGCTTTGTTTTGGAAGGATCAGTTCGAGTCTGAGGAGTGAAAAAGAACAAGGGTGGACCAGTTGAAGAACAGACTGTAAACTCTCAAGGCACTGGGACATAAATGAAGGCAGGACCTGAGGATGTGGGGGAAACGGTCAGAGACTTTTCAGGTCTTTGGAGAGCAAACATTTGCTTGGTGGACGACTATGAGATATGACAAAAGGAGGAATTACAAATGATGCAGAAGTTCTGCACTGTCCAGATCCCTCCTCGGGACTGAAGGACTCAAGACACAGAGCTGCACTCACTGAGCAGCCTAGCTCTGACCATTTGAGACCAAAGTCAAAGGCATGCCCTCTTCCCAGAGCAGCCTGCATCTGAAATGCCTGGCTGAGGTGGAATGAGCTGCAGTTCTCCAAGGTCAGTCGTTGGATGCCACTATACCCACTTCCCAGGTGACGCTATGCTCCTAGCCCTCTTCCAATCACAATGGACCATGGTAGCTGTGAGGCCCTGGTAGCTGTGAGGCCAGGCCTTTGTTAAGAGTGCACTACACTATAACTTGTTCCTCTAGCCTTGTCTTGCTTTGAAGGATGCTGCGTCAAAGACTGTTCCCTAAACTTACAGCTCTCCAATTTTTGCCCCAGTCTGCTTCTCAGAGAGCCCAAGCCATGCAAATGCCTTTAAGATTTTTGGCCTAGAACTACCAGACTGCTTTTTAACGGCTAAAGGATGGAGCAGTTATCAGTTGTAGGAAATAGATATGATGAGGATGGTTTCCAAGTCATTAAATTGAAGCTTCTATCTATTTCCAAGTGGAAAAGAAGTTCAATCCAGAGAAAGCCCATCAGAGTCCTCAGTGGGGACAGTGCTTAGTGAAGATAGACTGAGCAAGGTTGCCTAAGGAGAGCAAGTACAGAGACTGAGCCTGAGTCTGTGCAAGAACTGAAACGGAGGAGGGATCAGTAAAGGGCTCTAGGAAGACCACGCTATGCCCTAGGAAGAAAACGGAAAGTGAAAAGCGAGGAAATAAAACATGGTTTCAAGTGTTTCGGGTAGGTAAAAGAAAATGTGATCTGAGAACTGACCCCATTAATTAGCAAAGAGAAGGTCAATGGAGAGGCAGGGCTGGGAGTTCCAGGCTGTCAGCCTGGGCTGAAGAGAGACCTGTCTCAAAAGACAGTAGCAACTGAGGTGAGCTGAATTGCCGGGTATGGCGGAGCACAGCTGGGATCAAAGCACTTCCGAGGGGGAGACAGGGGAGCACAAAAACCGCAGCTCCCTCGGGCTACATAACGACATCCTGTCTCAAAGCGGGGAAAACAAAAAAAATCAAAAAGAAGAGAGAGCGAGAAATCAGGAAAGAGCAAAGAAAAGCAATTATGTTAGGGGCTCTGAACAGCTTTTAGAGAGAAACATAGGCATGTACGATTGAACACATACACAATTCTAGGCAGAAGACTGCATTTTTGCAATGAATAATAAGTAACTATAGTCACCGACTACAGTATGTATCAGGGGTTGCTTCCAGAACCGGTCGGTCGTATTGAAATGCTTAGGTGTACAAGTCTGTCATAGAAAAGCACAACACAATATCTGCAAATAAGCTGCCCCCCTCCTCCTGTACACCGCAAACCACCGGCAGATCACTAAAACAATGTAAATGACATGCAAATCAACAGTGGCTACACTGTATTTAAGGATTGATGGCAAGAGAAACCAGTGCTACATGCTTAGCTCAGGTGCAGTTTCCCCTCCATGGTGATGATCTGCCGAAAGTAAGACACAGCACCGATGATTCACTAATCTAACAGGGTCATGAGGAGTCACACGCCCTATTTCCAGTGTCATGTCATTTCCAACCCACTACAAAAACAAACACACACAGAGACTGGAGTAAACCTCAAGCCAAAGCTGGAGAAAAACTGGATACTTAGTAGAGGGAGGCCAGATGATCTTAAAGGCTCTCTCAGCAGACCAAAACCTTTCCTAGGTGCAAGCCTTATCCTCAAATGAAAGCTGGTTATTTGAGTTGTTTCTGGCAGGCATCTCTACAGCAGTACATTGGTTCTTCTTTTGGTCTTAATTCATGCTTCAGGCTGACACACTTTTCCTTTACAGAAAAGGTATTCCTATGACTCCTCACCCACTGTGGAGAGCTCTAAGACTCTAACTCAGCATAAGATAAACTGATGTTCCCCAAACTGTCACTCCCTCTATGGTTACAAGTCGCTACGCTTAAAAAGCAACACTAGTATCTATGCTATTTTTATTTTTTACCAAGTGGAAATGGGGCCACAGAAAAGTCTCCTCAAAACCCAGCATCTGCAAGAACTTCCTATCCTGCAACACTGCCTTTATTACAAGTCAGTAACCTTCGCACAGAAACCATCATGCCTTCTAGAAGATCGTTTTGCAGACAGGAGCCTAACACTCGGGACAGCACACAGAAAGACAGACACGAGGAAGTAGAAGCTTGTACTGCTCAACACTGAAATATAGGCCCATTTCTTCAGAGGAAATCCTGCCTTCTACAACCAAAAAAGACAACTTCAAAAAGAGATATTTGTACAATACACTAATCTATTATCTTTAAATCACTGTTTGCATTTGGAGAAGGCACAAAATTATAACTTGGTATCTCCCTCCTCTAATCCTAAATAATAATTGAAAGGGTATTTGAGGCTTGGTAAAATATATCAACACCAAATTGTTTGGAATATAAGGAGATCAGATGCTGTAGTTCATTCTCTGAAAATGCTGCGATCCAAAGGAAACGTCCAGACCCATGAACATGATTTTGGTGGTTTGAAAGAAAACGGCCCCCAAAAGGAGTGGCACTATTAGGAGGTGTGGTTTTGTTGGAGAAAGTGTGTCACTGTGCAGGTGGGCTTTGAGGTCTCATATATGCTCAAGCCACACCCAGTGAGTCAGTCCTGTTGCCTGAAAGATGTAGGACTCTCAGCTCCTTCTCCAGCACCATGTCTGCCTCCATGCTGCCATGTCCTGCCATGATGATAATGGACTGAACCTCTGAACTGTAAGCTGCCACCACAATTAAATGTTTTCCTTTATAAGTGTTGCTGTGCCGGGCGGTGGTGGCGCACGCCTTTAATCCCAGCACTCGGGAGGCAGAGGCAGGCGGATCTCTGTGAGTTCGAGGCCAGCCTGGGCTACCAAGTGAGTTCCAGGAAAAGGCGAAAAGCTACACAGAGAAACCCTGTCTCGAAAAACCAAAAAAAAAAAAAAAAAGTGTTGCTGTGGTCATGGTGTCTCTTCACAGCAACAGAAACCCTAACTAAGACAACGATATTACTACAAGTAATAATTATGTCATTGAGGGTGGAGAGATGATGCTGTCTACTGAAAACACCCTAGGATGTACAAATAATATTCTATCCAAGAAACACAAACAAGCAACAACAGGAGTCATATTAATTTCTTTCTGAAATTAGTATTAAATGATGGTGTCATGTTATCAAAGGAGGGCTAAAATAACTCAATCAAAAAAGTGTTCATTAGCTATTTCAGTCGGTAACATGAACAATCCTCTACTAGGTGAGAATGCTTATCATTCAGTGTTAGGTGAAGAAATGAACTTCATATCTGAGTTATAGAGCCACAAAAGGATGACTTCAAGTAAAAGGACAAATTTATAAATAGAAAATTAAAAGCCTTGAAGAAGATAAATGACTCAGGACTCTCTCAATTCTTAAATTAGGAGTAATTAGGCATTTGTTGAACCAATTAGTACTCATTTATACATTTTAAACAGTAAACAAAAGGCACTAGTTCAAAATAACAGACTGCATCATAACGGTCTTTTGTCTCCCAAAGTGCCTTAGAAATAAAAAAGTAAATATTTTCAATAAGAGAAAGCCATAACAGACTTAGAAAATAAGAAATCAGTAGTAAGCCAGAAAGTTTAAACAAATACTGATATTGAAAAACATGAAAGACGCATATATGAAAAACTATCACAGCAACCCCAAATATCAGGAAAAACAAAAACACTAGGAAAGAATAAATTCTCCCCAGGAAACCAAGAAGAAAACATTCACTTCAGAGGCCATTTCTTTTTTAAGTATTGAGGTTTATAGCAAAGAGGGCCCTCCCTATACTCATCTAAATCAGAGCCTGTGGTCTAGAACATGTGACTTCCCCTCTGACTAAGGAAACGGACAACCAAATACATTACACCATGAAGAAGAAATAACAATGACTTCTTAGAAAGTACAATCTTCCCTTGCAGGGGCCGGAGAAATGGCCGGTATTAGGAACACCTCTTGCAGAGGACCCATGTCATGCTGCTCACACCTGCCCATAAATCCAGCCCTAGGGAACCCAACACTCTTTTTTGCGCTCCTCAGGTATTTGCACCCCTATGTGGACAAACCCACACACATACACATAATTAAAAATAAAATAAAATGTAAAACATTTCCCTTGTATAAAATTCAGATGAACTG